CTCAATGGTACTGATGTTAAGTATCTCGTTATTCAGCCTTCGGGACAGAAGAAAGACTGCCACTGATCTCAAGCATGAGATAAACGACCATATATCAAATGACAGAAAAGTGTCCAGATATACAGTATCAAGAAGACTCAACGAGAATGGAATATTTGTTCATGTAGCAGTTAAAAAACCTTTACTTTGATCTCCAAATATTGTCAAGAGACTGAAATTTGCTAAAAAGTACAAAAACTGGACTGTTGATGATTGAAAAAGGTAGATCAAAAACTTGATAAATCAAAAGTTACTTCCAAAGAAACTTTATGGGAGTGTGTTAGAGCCATCTGGAGTAAAATCCAAAAGGAAACATTGATTAAATATGTTGTAACAATGCCTGAAAGACTGTCTGCAGCTATTAAATCAAAAGGAAGACACACAAAATATTAACTGTTTGCTGAACTCAAGCACTTCCATTGAGTTTCTGTTATACTAAGTATGAAGGTTAATAAAATTTTGATGTTTCACCTGTGATTTACCTTCCATTGTTCTTTGAACATAGCCTGCATTTCTAATTTTTGACTTTGTTCTAACCGTTTTGTACAGTACTGTACATTGATATAGAAGTTAGGTATGCTATATACAGTAGCCCATGTCCAATCTACTGTAATAAGGAGATTGTGAAAAGATTACAATTATGTGACAAACCAGTTTATTGTGACTAATTAGTGGTAGGTCTACTTCACATACACACACATATATATAAACTAGTTGTGTAGTGTCTAATTTTGTTTGTCATACTTGTGCCTAAATGACTTCCTCAAACTTTTTCTTTTACTACCCTGACTCAGGTTTAATTGTTGTTGTTCTTTACGTGTGATATACATGTATGTATAGTGACCTTTTTTTTTCTTTTCAGTTCTGTGTGCGAAGAATCTTGCCAAGAAGGACTTCTTTAGTAAGTATACAAAAAATAATATTAAAATGTGTTATTGTAAAATCCAGTATTTATTTCAATTAGCAAGATATTGTTAACACGAACTAGAATGATGTATATTACTCCGATTATGGAAACATTTTTTTTTTTATATACGCTTACAAAAAAAAAATAAATACAATCTCTCAAATAATTGAAAAGTTTTGTATTTTAACAAAATATTTTACTGAACTTTATTACAAAAACTGAATATTTGTAGAATTTCCATGAAATTATGCAAAATATTAAGTTTTAATGATATTCCTTAAAATATGCCATCATTGTTAGGGTGTCAGACTCATTGTCTGAAGGACATGGGATTGAAACCTGGCACAGAATGTGCTCACCTTTCCAGTCCTGGGGAAATTATAATGTGACAGTAATCCCACTATTCATTGACAAAGAGTAGAGAGTAGTTCAAGAGCTTGTGGTGGTGATTCTGCTGTTGGTCAGCACAGTTCTTCTGGTCAGCTCGATATGTTGTATATTAAATTAGATACAAATGTGACATGCATAGTTGTAGACATATTTTTGGTACAATTTTGCTATCTGCTGAGTATTCATGGTTCGTATCCTGTTACCTCAAAATCATGACCCATACTTCATGGTTCATATCCTGTTACCTCAATATCACAATTCATTCTTCATGGTTCATATCCTGTTACCTCAAAATCACGACTCATACTTCATGGCTCGTATCCTGTTACCTCAAAATCATGACCCATACTTCATGGCTCGTATCCTGTTACCTCAAACTCACGACCCATACTTCATGGTTCGTATCCTGTTACCTCCAAATCACAACCCATTCTTCATGGCTCTTATCCTGTTATCTCAAAATCACGATCCATACATCATGGCTCGTATCCTGTTACCTCAAAATAACGATCCATTATTCATGGTTCGTATCCTGTTACCTCAAAATCACAATCCATATTTTGGGGGTGGATTACGTGAATGATGGTCAAATCTCACCATTTGATTAGAGTAGATTGAGAGTTGTGGGTGGATACTGTTGACTAGCTGCTCCTCTCCCTCTAGTCCAGTATTGTCGCTAGAGGGGGTACACTGCACCAGGATTTCCAATATATTACTCTCCCTCTAGTCCAGTATTGTCACTAGAGGGGGTACACTGCACCAGGATTTCCAATATATTACTCTCCCTCTAGTCCAGTATTGTCACTAGAGGGGGTACACTGCACCAGCATTTCCAATATATTATAGAATGGCTGTTTGACAAATTCTGTGATTATTTTTTCTCAATGTGTTATCCTTCTTATATTTCATGTGAAACTGAACTAAGATTTAAGGGGCACCATTATAAGGCTGTGCATTAGGTTCACAGAAAACCTGGCACTGTTCCTACTCTATTATACCAGTTTGAAATTATGTACAGCTAGGGTAGAGATTGTAGATTTGCTTGACTATCAAAAACAATTACCAAATATCTTGGAATCATTTATTGTGTATTAGAAGTCACAAACCACTGTTATCATTGCTGCAGGATAACACTTGAGTGATGGTGTTAAAGGTTCAGCATGAGCAGTGTTTTCATGTACACGTACGCATGGAATTTCTGGTGGAAAGAATGGAGTTAAGAGGCTTGGACTGGAACACGCTCGAGTGTATCGTCAAAACTACGAATGTACAGAATAGCTAATATCAAACTGATCTACAAAAACAGAAAATTAACAGTGAACAATGAATAATGTCAAATTTGTTTCGTCCCCCGGAATAAGCAGTGTAAAAATATTAGGGGGTGGGTGGGATAATTTTGTTTCTGTGGAAAAGTCATAAAAGATTCTGTTTCAGTAGTAAATATGTTTAATGCTATTGTTTGATGACAACAGTTTAAAAATTAATGGAGTGAACACTTCATTTGTTTGCGATCAGGTGCATGACTGAAGGAGAGACTGGTAATTCCTGTACTGCTTTCAGAGAGACTGGTTTCAGTGCCAAGGGCAGTACTACCTCTGAACACTTTAACTTACTTATCAAACATACTTAGACACATTTTATTGATCTGATTAAGCAGTTGTAGCCATATTTTGTTAGTTTTTAAGGTCCAAAACTTTTATTTCATTTTGTGTACATCTCCTTTGAAGACATAAAAATGTATAATCATGCTGTTGGAAATTATAAGTTGTCATGGATATCCACTTAAGTCATTAAATCTATAAAGATGTTTATACAGCTTTGTAATATCAGAAAGTATTTAATATCTTTGATACTAAACACGCTCCTCTCTGCTCAGTCAATATTCAAATTGCATTGTTAAAAAATTATGAAAAATATAGTAAAAATGAAAATAGTTATATTTCCGCAAAGTTGATATACAACGTTTTAGTTAGTGTTCTTGTGGCCACTTTTAATCCATAATATTGTAATAAGACAAACCACAGTCATTACTAGATAAACCCCTCTCTCTTAAAGAAAGTAACTTTATAACAGACTTGTAATGTTAGAAATTAAATGATGTCATTTTGTAGCATAGTGTGAACAGCTGAGAATACCTTACACTAGCTGAGTCATAGCTTTGTGTGAACAGCTGAGAATATGTTACACTAGCTGAGTCATAGCTTTGTGTGAACACTGAGAATATGTTACACTAGCTGAGTCATAGCTTTGTGTGAACAGCTGAGAATATGTTACACTAGCTAAGTCATAGCTTTGTGTGAACAGCTGAGAATATGTTACACTAGCTGAGTCATAGATGTGTGTGAACAGCTGAGAATATGTTACACTAGCTGAGTCATAGCTTTGTGTGAACAACTGAGAATATGTTACACTATCTGATTTTGTAGTTTTGTGTACTGGTTTAATAGTATCATGTTAAAAAGACAACTTACATAAAACGTTATGTGTTAACACTGGGTATATACTACCTGCTTGTGCACTGATGACATTATTCGGTATATGTCCATGGAAAAATTATTTCTAATTTATTATAATCCAAAGAAATAGCCATTTTTCTTCTTTCTGCTGAAAAAAGTGTGTCTTATATTAGGAAGATATAATACAGGAGGTCGTTATTACATACACTTTTTACATTCTTGAACATACGATTATCTACGTTAAGTAGTCGTTATGATGTTCAATTTATACATCCGGAGAGGAGATTCCTGAATTACGCGGTTAATTCCAACCTTTAAAACAAAAGGGAAACCTCAATAGCCGCGGCACTTTAAAATATTTTAGGTAGGATTTGAGTAAATTAATCCAGGAGACATTTCCCCCCCTTTTTTTATTAGCTATATTTTTGTGTGCCAGCAATACCCAATTCAATTTTATGACTCATTAGTATCTCTACAAGCCTACCCTCAACTTAAAATTTTTGTAGGCAGGATTAGAGTAAATTAATCTATGAGACTTTGTGGTGATCAAGTACATCAGTCGAAAGGGTTTGACCTCCTGAGTCCAAAACTGTAATTAGGTCTCAAGTTGGTCAAGAGATTGCGGAGTTATGAGCTAAAAATGTGTACTTGAAAAACAACAGAAACAAACAAAACTTCGGAAGAGCTATTGGTGCGTTATAAGAGTGACAGTTAATCCCTTAACGTGGATGGTATACGTTAGGATGCTGCTGACTGGTGATCAAAAACATCCAAAATTACAAACGGAAAAGTGACTTATCAAAAACTTTGAGAAAGAAAATGAAAAAAAAAAGGGTAGGCTTGTTTACCAAGCTATGAGGCTTGATCCAGTGAGATGAAACCAGGAACAAACAGAAGAACATCAAAATACAGTTAAAATAAGTCAGGAGTAATTTGGTGAGAGAGAAACACACCGTTCAGCTCACCAAGATCGGTGACAACAATGATTGTGTCATAAATAACATATAAAAGTTAACTAGTATCTCGTTGCAAGGCAACAAGTTTCTACTAGGGTTCACTGTTCCCTACGCAGATTTACCGGAAAGGGGGCCGAGGTAAAAAAATATAACATCAATGTACGTAATCATTCTTACACAGATATTTACAGCGCTTATTAGCCACGGTATTGCTGGCTCATAGACCGGTAAGGGAACGTGGATGTTTTTGATCACCAGTCAGCAGCATCCGAACGTATACCATCCACGTTAAGGGATTAACTGTCACTCTTATAACGCACCAATAGCTCTAAGGGAACGTTTAAGATTTATTGCACTGTTTCGCCATTTCAGAAACCCACAGCTCTACCATAGGGCGAATCCACGTCCCAGTTTTGATATATTAAAACACAAACTTAAAACAATATGTTTCTTATATGATATTACCGCAACCATTTATTTAAA